AGACGGGCGCCATGTGTATAATAATGTTAAAGAATGTTAAATGCGAGAGGGTTTTGGAGATCCGAGCCGCATACATTAGTTGTTAACAATGCTATAAAGGACACTCGCCCTGTGTCTCACCCTTCATCTCGGGGAACGGAGATATACAAGTTTTCTCTAGCGCGACTGGATTTACGAGCACAACTCCTTCCCGTGCGATTCTTATGCAGCGCAATTCAGTAACATAGCGGATGAATAGTAACATGTAGTACTTGTATTGGAATCGATTCTCTACACGTATAAAGATTTCATATAAAATAATGTATTTCACATTATTTCACATAATATATTGATAAAAGATCACAAATTTTACTATTATTGCGTATCCGTATATAATAAATAATAAATACTAATTGAAATAAAAAGTATACAATAGTTACTCTCAATAATCAAACTTTAAGCGATTGTTGTGTCTTGTTTTTAATAAAAATGGTAAAAAAGCTTTTCTAATATTTAATACAATTTTACGTTTTACTTTTTATTTGATGACATATAATATATTTAAAAGTATTATACATAATATTTCTTTTGTTAGAAAATGACTTTTAAGAGATTTTGATCTTTAGCGATAATGCTAATGTGGTCTGAACTCTGGAGCTCTAGAGAGTCCAGTACGTCCTAAGCAACCCCGTGTGTAATAATTTACCACCCGTGTCGACTCGTGCACGTGGTCAACCCTCGTGATAATTGTTTAAACCGACCACTGGCCACCCCTTTAGACTGACTCAAACACCATCGTGAGATCAATTCTCTCCTACGAGCTTCGTGTACTTTCTGTAGGGCGTGTAGGAACTTCATTACGATTGAATCATTCTTCTTCTATCGCAAAAGTGAAATTATAAATTAAGAAATGTTTTTTTTTACACTTATTATATTATATTATATTATTACCACAAACATAACATTTTTGATAAAATAATTTATAATTATAAATGGTAATAATTCGGGAAGTATGTATAGGCACATTTGCAGAATATTAGACAATATTGTACAACATAATTTGAAGATTTGTAAAAAAGAAATGCTATTGAATCTGTGTTTAGGAAAAGGAAAAGAAAAACTTTACGAGAGAAAACTTCTGTCGAGGGAGAAATGCCGCGAACGGAAAGTTATCTTCTCGAGATTGATCAGTAGAATTTCAAGCTTTGCTCCAGCCTCCTTTATTCAGTTTCGTTGAAACGAACGAAGTTTTATATAAATGATAGAACATAAAGTTTATTTTATTTTAATACAGTATATCCAGAGATAATATATTGCTTCAATACATAAACATTAAGATAAAAATGGAATATTATAATATTCTTTAAACAATAAGAATCTTATACATATGAGAACACAACCAATAAGAAATAGGAATTAAAGGCCCATAATGGTCGAAACTGGATTTTTGATGCTTAAATAATTCAATGTAAATTTTTATGTATGTTCATGCATACATATCGAAAATCTAGCATATTAAGATTTCCTTAATAGATACCTATTGAGTATCAAAATTTAATTGTGATATTATTTCAGTAGTTTAACTGCGTTTTCATGTCCGATAAAATTTTGGTGTGCAATTCAAAATGATATATATTTATGTATATATATATTGTATGTATAAAATCACATTGAGTTATTTAAAAATCAAAGATCCAGTTTCCATTATGGGTCTTTAATTCTTATTTCTTATTAGTAATATTCTTTAAATTAATGTGAATATACGAAGTGAAGACAAAGCAAAACGAAGATATATGAAATAAAGCTCTAAAATAAGTACCGAGTAGAGTAAAAGCACCGCAATGGAAAGGTTTGGATGGTCTCCAAGAAATATAGCGACAAGAAAAACGCAACGACAAGTGGAAGAAAGAGGGGATAAAGAGCCCGAATACTCGGTCGAGTAAAACGAATCCAGAAGAGGAAGTCTGGAAGAGCGAGAGTGCGATAGCGAGCAAATAATAGGGAAATGATTTGCTCCTTGTTAGATAAAGGCCCTGCGAGGGGACTCGTGAAAAGAAATATTGCTCCCAATGAAAGGAAGTGGGCGATGGGCTACATGGTGGTGGGACGCTGCGGGGTATGAGGGTGGATCCATTCACTTGTAACTGCTTCTTCGCTGGTCGTGTCGGGTCATCCATACGCGAATTCTACTCGATTAAGAGTTAAATAGTATGGGCGTGCTTTGTCACGCTCAAACCACATATTTCCGGTTTATCTTTTGGAATATCCTTTATTTCTTTTGTAAATTATTGCGTGATGATAACTATGGATATATAAATTTGCATAGCACTCCACTTATTACGTAGATATTTTTAATATAATTTTTTACTTTGTTTGCAAAATCATCCGTTTAAAAAAAATCGATTTTATATATTGACCTCTAACTTATTATTGTATTGGCAATTTTGAAGATTTGCGATTGTTCCCATTGAAAATGATTTAATAATAGGTAAAAACGTTTGTTATGAATTATTATATGTGAATTTATTATTAAAAGTTTTTAATTATAAGCACGTAAAAATCAGCGATTGACTTGTTAGCCCTCGATTTTATATTTATAATTTTTAGATATCGATTGATTGACTTTTTTTTATCATCTTTATATTAAACCATATAAGAAAATATTAATTACTATTGGTATATTAAAAATTAATATATTTTTACGTAAAAATATCTCTTCATGCAAGCAAACAATAAAGAAAGCAGCATACTCATTAATTTTAATATACATACATATATACCCGTGTACGTAACATATACCCACACACATACACAGCATATACAGTTTTATTATCAATTAAAGGTTATAATGAGATCTCTGTATTTTTTTTAAGTATGCTGCACAAAAAATCGATATAATAATGAATTTAACAAAAGATAAAATATTTATTGTTTAAATAATAATTTTTACATATATATTTTTAAATTTAAGTGATATATATCTGCTATTTCAGATAGCAATATTTATCAATGTATTAATAATATCAAGCCACAATTTAAATTTTGCATTTCTGAGTGAGTTGGTTCGAGAACAAGGTGTTATCCGAGCAACGTAAAAAGATTAGGATAGAGGTGCGATTCTGGGAATGAGTCGACGCGTCCAGCGAACGGAGAGGGTGAAGGCTGGCACTCGCGCTACGCTCGGGGGATGGTGGATGCCCGTGAAGGACGGAGGAGGATGTGTTGGTAGGGTATGCATGGCGGCGGAGAGAGTCCAGTAGCGATCATCAATCAGAAAGGCAGTCAGCCGTCCGTCAGTCGGCCGGCTGGTCAGCCACGTCCAGCGTGTACAGAGTTTCGCGCGGGAGGTTTCCTACGAATTCGCGAGTCATGCTTGGACTGTCATCCTGACAATCGATTGAACCTGAGCACTAACATCCAATTCCGGAATTGTTCTTTCCATTATTTTGCCATGCCTAAGGATTCTATTCGGCCACTCCGTAAAGAAAATACAGACATAAAGAAACAGCCGAGCGGAGACGTTTGATCTTCAGCTCGTTTATTAATAGAAAAATGCAATCGCAACACATCTTAATTTAAATAATTCGTCTTAAGCTGTTTAACGTATAACAACAAAGACATAAGATTGTCATTATGTAGATTTTTAATTTTATAGTAATATTATTCAGATAAAAAAATTAAAGAAGATATACAGGAATACACACAAAGAAAAAGTAATTTATTTAT